GGCCCTTGGTGGATACCTCGGCAAGACCTGAAAGCCGAGAATGGGGGGCCAAACTGCCAAGACTTGGAATGCATAGACGGGTCCAATGATTTTGACCGGTTTTTTGACGGGTGAAAACATCAAAACGGGGGTGGTTTCCCTTCAACCTACCAAGAGGGTGACCCTTCTGGAATTTCCAGATAGTCTCGGCCTGGCACCACATTGACTAGGTCCCCCAGTAGTGCCCTTTTACCCTTTTTTGGGGGAGGGTTCCCCTACAAAAATAGACTACAGAAAGCTGCGACCCTTATTCTAACCTCTCAAGTCTGGAGGGCCTAGTTGAATCGCAAACGACCACAGTGCATGCTCAGCTCTGCGGATTTCCTAGAGACACACACCCTGGATCCTGGCCAAAAGCACCCCCTTTCACAGGTCCTAAGGGATCTGTGAGGCTAAGACACGAAAAGGAGATCTGACCCCGTCATCTTGAAAAGGAGGTCGCAAGTGTGGAGCGCAGCACCGGTGCCGGCTGGGAGATCCAACAACCCAAACATGGCACGTACGGTTGAGTCAATTGAACGCCAGCAAATGCGTCCATTTTTGTTAAAGGGTTTTGCTTTTGTTCTCCCTTGTTGGTTTTAAAGATAATATATCACTACTGCAAATATTATTTTTGTTTTTTTCTCTCCAGGGGCTTAAGCAAATGGAAGAATGGCGCAACGAGTTCTTGAAAGCATTTACAAAACCCCAGCCACGTTGCCAGGAGCTCTGGAGCATAGTCTGGCGCATCGGCGGCGCGCAAAGGTCCACAACTACTCAGCCTGGCCCTCGGGAAGTCTATAGAAGAAAACGCGCCTACCCTCAGAGCTTTCTCGGGGGTGAAGCATGTGAGCAAATTAGAGGCACCTGACCGGCGATTTACGACCTTACCCGTGAAGATTCCTACCCGTATGGATTTGAACACATGTTGCGAGGGAAACATGGCCGTGAGAGGAAGGTACAAAGCAATCTCACTGGTGATGACGGGGCCATGAGGGGGTCTTGTTGCAAGCAAGGCGTTGAACTATTGTTCACCCGCATGAATGAGTTCCTTTGTATGCGTGTCACTGCTCTCAGCATAGTTGATGCATTTGACGTTGCCTTCGCTGCCTGTTTGGGAGTCGACGGTTGTGTTGCACTTGCAAACAAGCCTTCTTCCGCGCACGCGATGCGGAAGAACGACATTGCAAGGTTGCAGCTTGCTCAGGTTTGGTTGCAGCTTGCTTGCGGTTCCTTCAAGTCTGTGGCATTTTTGTTGGCTGGTGCTTTACCTTCAGCAGAGGGTCACCCGGAGAATCCCCCAGGTCAACCGCCTGGTTGGTGGCTGAGTGGACATAAAGTGGACGGTTACTGCTTTCTGAAGGTTCAACATGTCAACGTGCCTCATCCGGAGGCCTGTGGCTCTTTGCAGGGTTGGACAAAGTGTTCGAAGATGGACTATTGCCCGCTTTTTGCAACGGTCGTCCTTAATAGAATTAGGGGTTCTTCTAAGAGGAAACCGATCTCCAGGTACCCTCCTACAGATGCTATGTTTGTGGCAGGCAGGGTATCAGTGGACAAATGTTCCTAAAACCGGTCAACACCCAGACCCAGGGCAGCCACGGGAAGCGAGGGTTCAACAGCCTTCGTAGGGTTTACATGAGAACGTGTCCAAACTCGGCCCTCCAAATGCTTGGTGTTACGTTGGTGTCTCTATTCTTGGTGGCTAACCCCCTTAGCCTTTTGGCTTTTTAGGTGTTTGGTGGTAGTTTCCATTAAATCCACTAAAAGTTAGTCACTTTTAGCGGGGAATCTAAGAGCAGCCCAGTATTGGATTACCGGCACAAAGGTTTCCTAGCGTTGACACTCAAAATTAGACAGGAGGGGCAAACCGCAGTTTTGGCCCATGTTTTCACTTGCCAAGGTTGAATTTGGGGTACCGGTTTTTTGAGCCACAGCCACCATCCGATGTCTGAGCAGCTGCCCATCTGTCAGGTACCTGGCAACGCGCCACTCGGCTAAAGTCAGAAGGCCCTGGAGGCGAACTTGACACACACACACACACATCAGCACACAAGCACAAACAAACAAACACTTCCATTCGCTGAAATGAGTATTGTTTATGTTCCCCTGCTGGTTTGAAAAGGGATCTATAACGGAAGTATGCTTTTTCATTGGACTTAAGCTAATGGAAGAACAAACAAGCTCACGCACGCAGCACGCACGCACCGCCGTCTGATGCACCCTTGGCTATAAAAGCAGCGGCATCACGTCACATGGGAATGGGCAAAATTAAGCCACCAGGGGACCGCAGGTTTTAGTCCATGCTTCCATTTACCAGAGTTCCATTCTGGGTACCTATTTTCGACCCACAGCCACATGTGAGCCAAAAGCCCTGTCTCAGTCAACCAGTGTGCAATCAGAGTCACTGTGGCATGTTGCGTGTTGGGCCTCGGCTTCCGAGGGTAGAGAATCTGTAGGATGTTATTCGAGGGGTTGATTCCTTTTCCATTCTTTTCAACCATCGTTCTTTTCAAAAAACGGATCTGTTTCCCAGGGATTTGTTGTTGTCTTGTTTTTTCAGCAAGAAGGATGCCTGGAAAGAATGGGGAAGGTACCCCTAGAGGCATAGCTAGCCGATGGCTTCCTTGAGATTTTGCGTGAGCCCCTCGCTCCTACCTATCTCAACCAGGGCTTTCTTAGTGGTCAGTTGCCACTTGTTTGCCTACCTGACTGAAGGCACGCATGCCCTGTGGGTCCACAATTCCAGGGGTCCTTTTAAAGGCGCAGCAACAAGCCGAAGGCGGTTTAGGGCAAGGCTTGCCCTGGTGCCCTCCATGCTCTGCACCGCTCTCCCAGGTTCTTCCCCTTCGGCACCAATGTGCAGAGGCGCCTTAGAGTTGCTGGCTCCTTTGCCCAAAGCAAATCCACCTTTTGATCCATTTCTGGTTTTCCTGTGTTGGTTTCCATTTTTAGTCCAATGGTCACCATTTGTGGTCCGATTTATATAGGTCCATGTTCAGTGGGCAAAATTGGATCACCTGTTCTTTTTTGGGCCTTTGGGCCAGTTACTTCAAGCCTTGCAGTTGCGACTCTGGAGTGTCCCAAGTGACGCAACCGGTCCAAAAGCTCCTGATGGAATTTGGGGCCTACTACGTCCTTTTGACACCCCCAAAGCCACTCGAAGTGCGGTTCGGGCCCCAGGTTCTGCATACCAAGCCCCAGGACCCTTAGGGGAGGACATGTTCTTGGCGATTGCCGCAGGTGCATGGCGATTTGGGACATCATTTTGTGAACGACAGTGTTTGTTGGCTCGCAAGCGACAAGCCACTGTGCGTGTTCTTCCATGCGGCTTTTCTCAGACTTGGCCAGCTCGCGGTTCCTTGGTCGACAACGATTAGCCTCGGGACAAACAAGAGAACACCAGGCCAGTTGTCTACTCTGTTGTGTTGGTCGACAATAAAGAGCTGGCAACGATCGTTGTCTGAAGTGCGAAGGAAGGACAAGATGACTTTGGGACGTCGTCGTTACAAATGTAATGCTATTCAACTGCTCGTTGCAATCAGCTTGCTTGCGGGGTTATCATCATTGTTGTTGCTAGAAAAGGGGTTTTATGTGGCCACCCCTGCAGGATCCACCCCTGCAGGATATTCATAGTGTATTAGAAGAGCACCAAAACAGGACCAGGAGGAAGAACACAAAAAGGCAATCAAAGGTGAACTCCACAAAAAAAGCGCATCCAACCGGTTTCTCGGTTTCTCTTTCTGGGTTGTTTCTAGAGCGAGCTCGGGGGGTTTGTGAGTTCACATGATACACGCTGTGTTTTCCCATGGACTTGATACTCCACTGCCATTGCCAGGCGCTGAAGATACAGATATCTCTTTAAGCAACCAGAAGTTTACCACTCAGATGGGCTACGTGTTGAGGTTGTATTGGTGTCTTTGTTGGCTCCGTGCCATAAGTTTGCCCCAACAGAACGCTGTCTTTTTCGGAATGACAGCCTCCCAATGGCCAGCTGTTGAAAGGACGTCGTTTCGACCGACAGTGGCAGCTCCATAAATTTGAAGCATTGCTACCAAGGCAGGTTCTGGGAGACGGCTTTGGAAGGATGGGAGGTTGTATGCCAGTTCTATAAGGGGCATATACTGTGTTCAAGCTTCTATTGGTGGTATGTCATAATATATATATATATATGTATTAATCCATCCCTCCAGAACCCATACCTCGACATCCATTCAGCCATCCGCCCCAGAGTTTTACGAGCCCTCCCGTGAGCCTCGCCAGGGAGAACGTGTCCGGTTTGGCGCCGGCGCTGTACTTTCGGTACTTGGCCTTCCAGGCAGGGCACGTTTTGAGGCAAGCGGAGTAGATCAGCCTGCGGCTTGGTCCAAGTACCGGGACCGCTGATCCGAGCGCAGCTTGGAAATTTGCCCAGGGCCGATTTCTTGGTTGCCAGCCATCTGGCTCCCGAGGTGTGATTTGCTTTTCGGGATATATTGGTAGTTTCTGTATTTTTTCCCACAAGTCAAACTTTTAGCAGGGGATAATTTGAAAACGGACAGTCCAGATTTGTGCATGCTGTTGCATCAAGGTCTGCTGTTCGAACCTTGCTTGGCCTGTCTCGGAAGGAAGCCAAAGGCCCCCCAAGGAGAGGTTATTGAAGCGTTCTTGGTCTAAGAAGGGCTTCTAAGAATAGTTCTGAGAACCTTCTGCGGGGGTTGGGGGTGGGGGCTGATGTTTCTCATTAGCTTCTTCCCTGGCAAGGATCTGGTTCATATTTCGCAGCTCGCGCCCTATGGATCGATCTACGAACCGCAGCTTGACCACACCTCATGCGTGAACCGATGGGCAAAGATAGCCTTGTTGGAAAAGGAAACCACGAGGTTCATCGCTTTGGTCCCAACTCTTGATCTCTCATCATCAGACTAATCCTCCGAAGGACATTTGTACTGGAGAGCTGGAATAATGTAGGCAGCCTTCTGGCCTGCTCTTGCCCCCGCGCCATGTTCGACTTCGATGATATCGAGGCAGATGTTGAGCAAAAGGGTGCAGACGCATGGCGGGAGGGCGCCCAGGGCGTCCCCAGCGGGGCAGCCTTTGCACACCGGCGACCGGGCGCAGCGCCCATCGAGGCGACGAAGAAGGTCATCATACGTGGCGTGGACGGCGCGCCGGAGCTGGAGGAGAAAATCGGGGAGATCATGTCCTTTGCGGATGGCAGGTATTGCGTGAAGGTTATGAACCTGAGTGGGCCAGGGGGCTACGTGCCTGGTGCGGCAGTGAATGAGGGGGCACACATGAAGTCCCTCCTCCCCGAAAACCTCGAGCTGCACCCTGACCAAGTGGAGAAGGACCGCCAGGCCGCTGAAGACGGAGCGGTCGTTCTTCTGGGTGGGAACGAAGCGGAGCGGGCAGCCCGTGAGGCACTCTACTCTTTGCGCATGGACCCGCAGCATTTCTATGACAAGGCGGTGGAGCGCATCCTGGCCTCAAGACACGAGTTTGAGGTTCTCAACCTCGAGGCGAAGTGGTATGGCACTGACTTGAGCCTCATCAAGAGGGCCTACCGCAGGATCAGCGTGGGCATCCACCCGGATAAGAACAGCCACCCCCAAGCAGTGGACTGTTTCAGGAAGGTGTATGGGGCCTTTGAGACTTTGATGGACAAGAAGCAGCAGTGGCGGCTGCTGTTCATCCTCAACAAGCTGAAGGAGGACGAAATCGACCTATTCGAGTTGGAGGCTGAGGAGGATGAGCGCTTTGAGTGGTGGCTGGAAGCCAATGTCCCAGAAATCGAGAAACAGGCCGCAGAGATCGAGGGCGGTGAGTTCGAAGAAATCGGTGAGAAGTGGATCTCCGATGGGACCGGTGGCAACGTCAATGATGTAAAGTGGGCCGGCATGGCCGAGAGTTTGCGGCTTCACGCTGAGGACAAGGCCGTGTTCATTGACTGCAGGGAGCGTTTCGAATTTGAGATTGAGCATATCGACGGGGCGTTCAACATCCCCATGCGGGAGTTTGTGGACTTCGGCCTTGCGGGCGTTGCTGGCCCGTGGGTGAAGGAGGTCTTGAAGCGAAAAGACCAGCCGGTCATCATCTACAGCGAGGTGGCGACGCCCTTTTCCCGGTGCCGCGCCATGTGCCGCTGGCTTCTGCGCGCTGGCGCCAAGTCTCTGCCCGCGGAGCGGCTGCGGCGGCTGCGGGGCGGCATGTTTGGATGGCGGCACAAGAAGGGCAAGATGGTCCTGGCCATCAAGGACATCACCCCGGAACAGAAGGCCGCCTTGCATCGAGCGGCCGCCAAGCAGATCGGAGCGCTCAAGCCCGGGATGGAGGTGAACCTCCGGGTGCGCGTGAGGTGGTTCGAGGAGCGATACAAGTTCAACGGCGGCCCACCATCGCCCAGCGCCATGCTGCACGACTCCTCGGGCGGAGTGTTGGCGCACCTCACGAGCCCGGCGCAGATCGCTGCTTGCCGGGCGGCGGCCTCACAGCAGGGGTCGCTCCTCGTGCACGGCGCCAGCGTGCTGCTGCAGGACAGCCATCTCTTGGTGCGGCTGGGGCCCGGCGCACAGCTGGAGAAGAGCGACCGGGACTTCACCTTCGGCTTCGAGGCGAAGAACGTCTCCGAAGACGTGCGCGCCGAGGAGCCGGACGAGGATGGAACGGCGTAGCGGTTGCGGGAGTCGCAAGGCATGGAGTCGCCAGGCATTTCGGCCCGTCCAACTTGTCCACAGCTGTACAAAGCTATAGCCTACAAGCAAGCAGACTCCTGCTGCTGGGACAAATGGTTTTGCTGTGCATTGAATCTGCTTTCAACCCCAAATCCCTAAGCCAATCCTTGAGAGTTGCCCCCGGCACACTCTTGGCAGGCTTCGAGAGGACTTCGAGTTACTGGGGACTACTTAGTGCCCTCATGGAGCTCTTTCCCCTGCAGCTCACTTTTTTCCACCCGGCCAGTCAATACTTCTTTCAAGGCACCCACTAGGTTTTGCAATTGAACCTATTCCGGTTGTTGGGACCCAGGACCTGCCACCCCCAGGGATGAAAGCGGTTAAAGACGCCCGTTCTCCTCCCAACAATCTCAGATGTTTAGATTACAACTCCTACAGTATTGCCATTGATGTTTCTTGCAGTACTAATTCCTTTTACAGTCTTAAGGGTTGCTTTTCCCAAACACAAACAACTACTCCAGCTCGCCAGAAACAGCAAAGGTTTTATTCTTACATGTTGCTTAAAGCTGATAGGCGTGTCCCCGACTCAAGGCCTGTCACCCACTTTCCGCTTACTGTCCTATTGCCGTCCCAATAGCCAGACAGGGAGAGAGATGACCGGAGAGAACCGGGTTGATATGGGGTCTGCGTGGGGGGGGACTCTTCAAAGTCTTTTTTTTCCGGACCCTGTCGACATACGGGGAGTTGATTAGCCAGATGATAGTATTGCAGAGCCAGTTTATAACGTGCTGGCCCCTGTTCGCACGGAGCGTATGCGCAGGCACTTCTTAGTGCAGAGCTGAGGTGTGGAGGACATTCGTCGGTCTTCATGGGCTTGTGTTCTGTCGTAGCCCCTTTTTGGGGCGATCTTTGAAAGGGTGACCCGAAGGGAAGCCCCTGAAGTCTCCGGATTCCAATTGAATCACTGGGTGTCAGTCCTGCAACTTCCTGCCAGCCTGGAATTTGCTGTGCCGAGTGGCAAAAAAATCATCCGATCCGCGGCCTGAGGTTTTTTTCTCATCGCGCTGTCGCTGCTAGGCCCGGCATGTCTGGCATTTGCTCAAGCATATTCGTTATTTTCCCTTGTTGGTGTTAAAAGGAATTCATCACTACTGGACATTTTTTTGTTTCCCTGGGGCCTTAACCAAATGGACACATTTGCATGAGAGTGTTTGGGGTCCTGGTGTGCCAGATGTGCCAGTCGCGCCCGGGGAAAGTATCGCTGCGAGGCTCCCAAAAACTCGGTCGAGTGGACTGCTCTCATTTCTCTTTTGCCCAGTTGCACTTTGCCCGTGGAAAGCCACAGACAGCTGCACGAATAAACGGAGCGGTCAGGAAAGGGCCGCCCTCGGTCTGATTTTTAGCTCACGGCGACCCATTGACCACCTGCAAAGCAGACACGTATCGTTGTCCGTGGCTCATTTTGTCTTATCGTTGATCACGATGGTCATCGTCTTTAGTGTGTTCAGTTGTTTTTGTGGAATCCTCCTTCAATGTGCTCGGCTCTCACTTCCTGGCGGTCTCCCCCGTCCACTGTTTGTACTTGGTGGTTTCCCAAGTTGCTCTGGTTTGCTGTTCCCACATTGGTTGTTGCTATGCCTCCGGCTTGGATTCAATAGCTGCATGTGGTCAGGGTTAGCATGATTGTTAGGCTTTCAGTTATCTACTATTTTTTTGCACTTGATCAATTCGTATTTAATACTACGTACAAGATCTCCTTTGTGTGGGCAAGAGAGAGAGAGAGAGAGAGCTCTGTGGAGGTGAAGCGCACATGCTGGGGTCTTGGCTCATGTGCGCGGGCGCAGCAAGAACCTAGCAAATCTTGAGTGCGCGCTCAACATCTTCTCAGGGTGGGGGAATCCGTTTCACGTACCTGAGCAGATGACACAACATCGCTGTGCTGGTTTTCATTCCCCGATGGGATGCATACCCAATCTAAAGTGGGGCTTCTGGCTAGGTTCAGCGAGTCTGATCCAAGTTCACCAATCTGCTCAGAACTCTCGGGCTGAAGCTGCGTCGCCCACTGCTTCCAGTTGGCTTCCCCAGAATTAGCTCCCCTTTTCGTATTTTTGCTTGGTTGGGGTCCCTTTGTTTTCCACTAACCAGGCAAAACAGATAGTTTTTTGCTGGGGTCCTAATTCTATCCTAGTTGGGATGTGTGTTCGTTTCGGCGCAGGGCATTGGCTGCCTCAGCTGACCAAAGAAAGCGCGTTCCTTCCTCGGCTGATCCCGCCGGAGAAGCTCGGCGGGAGGCTCAGTCAGACTCCCGAAAAAAAGATGCGATACTGTGGATGGACGAAATCCATTTCGCACCACTTTGAAACCATGGTTGAAACCATTGTTGGTTGGTATTTACAGGGGAAACATCATTCCAGGGTTTCTTAGGTGGTGCAGGATTTCGTCCATCCACAGTATGCGCCAAAATAGGGGGTACCAGCTTACCATGGGGACACCAAAACTTGGTGGCTCCCAGCCATCCCCGTGGCCTTTTAGCTTTTTAGTGTTTAGTGGTAGTTTCCATTTGACCCACTGAAAGTTAAACTTTTAGCGGGGGAGCTGGGGGCAGCCCAGAAAATTCATGGTGTTCCCTTTGTTCTCCCTCATATCAACCTTCAAGTTGGCACCCTCAAAAACCATTTGAGGGCTCATTGCCAATGTGGGCAGCAGCTTTGAGAAGTGGAAGGGGGTTCCTATTGGATTCCTTCGAAACACCATCCAGAAAGGGGGTCCCAGTTTTGGCAAGACACCCATGCTTTTGGGGTACACTGGGGCACTTCCTCGAGGTGACGGCGGACTTGTCACATCCGTTTGCACCATCCAAGGTTTGCCGGCTTTGGTTGCATCATGTTGTTTGGGCTCGGTAGCACAGGTATCTCGAGTTTGAACAGATGGACGGCTTCAAATGGCAACTCTGCCTTTCTTTGCTTGCCTTTGGGCGTCGCAGACCTTTGGGTAACGCCTTAGCTTGGGTCGGCTCTTATTAGATCACGCCCATCGGAACGGCTCTCATTCAAGGCCTAGATGTCTCTTCATGCTTCCTTCCGCATGGGTGGCCTGAGTTGGGCAACCTGTGTCTTGTGAAACAATGATGGCAGAAAACCCGCAAGGTGGTTTACTTGCTGGTGCTCAGCAGGGAATGAGGGAAAGGGGACCAATCCCTGGGTTCATTCCAACTCATTCCCTACCTGTCGCACCAGCAACATAAAAGGTGTTCACCTTTTCAGGGCTGTCCGTTTTCAGATTTCTCAGTAAAAGTGACTAACTTGGGTTAAATACCGAACTCCAAGCAGTGAGCACCAGCAAGTTTCCCTGGTGTTTCCTTCAAGGGGACCAAAGCCTGGGGTTCTTCCAACTCATTCCCTACCGATTTCACAGCGATCTCAAGTTCTGAGCCTCCCTGAAACCGGGTCCACGAGGCCTAGCCCAGCAGCTCCATGCGGTGGCGCTCTTCGCGGGGGAGCCAAGTTAAGGACTTGCGTGAGTGGGGTGGTTTTGGACCCAACAAGTGTGTTTTCTGATTCCCTGAAAAAATTGGACCCAACAAGTGTGTATAGCATCTCCCTTTTCAAAAACACAGGCCGCGCACACTTCTTGCAAGTTTGGGTCCGATGGATGAGACTACCCAAACATACTCAACATGGTGGCGGTGATTCGGCAGCAGCCACTCTTTACCCAGATCTGCGTCGATCCTTGCTGCATGAATAATTCACCACGGGCGATCCTGCCACACCATGCCACGACTGGCCTGCAAACAATGTGATTTTGCGTGTGTCTCTCTCCCTGTGCTGGTAGGCCGTCGGGCACAGAATGACATGGTCCCCGTGCCCAAAACCGCAATCGAGCCAACGCCTTCGGCTAGCTCGAGAAAACCCCGGTCAAGGCCAAATTTCAAGGCCGGATTCACTTGTCTCCTTTGCGCTTCTTCTGCTCCTGGCGGGTGTGCAATCCAAGAGCAACCAAACAAGAACAACTTCCCTATTCCCTGGACCATTGGACATTGGACCCAAAACCAAAACCATGGACTCAAAGCAACCAAAAAAAAACAGCTTGCAAAACAAAATCCACAAACATGCTTCTGAACCGTCACATGTTTTCAACTTCACAGTCCTGCTGGAAAAGGGCCGACAGGCTGGATTCACTTGTCTCCTTTGCGCTTCTTCTGCTCCTGGCGGGTGTGCAATCCAAGAGCGACCAAACAAGAACAACTTCCCTATTCCCTGGACCATTGGACATTGGACCCAAAACCAAAACCATGGACTCAAAGCAACCAGAAACAACAGCTTGCAAAACAAAATCCACAAACATGCTTCTGAACCGTCACATGTTTTCAACTTCACAGTCCTGCTGGAAAAGGGCCGACAGGCTTTGCTGACCCTCCGCAACCTTCTGCTGCGCCGCCCGTTTTCGCACGGCCGACTTTGCCTTTGGGGCTGGGGCCGGCCGTGCTGCGTGCGTCGCTGCGACATCAGCTGCGACTGCCTCAATCGGCACCGGTGCCGGTGCCTTCGGTAGGGGGGGCTCCACAGTAGGCACGTTGGTCCCGACCTCCACCGCCAGATGCTGCTGCAAGTCTTGCTGCTCTTGGGCAGCCAGTGTCTGCACAGCTGCTGGCTCCCAGGAATTGCCAGAGCTCACGGGCCCTTCGACACGTGTGGGTGCAGCCTGCAAGGGCTGTGGCTCAGGCTGGTCACTGGACCCTCCAAACGTCTGCTGGTCACCAGACCCTGCGTCAACCTGCATGGGCGTCTCAACTGCGGGTTCTGGCGCAGGCTGCAGGGGCGGTTGCCCAGACTGGTCACCGGACACGGCGTCAACCTGCATGGGCATCTCGGCTGGAGGCTGCAGGGGCGTTCCTGCGTCAACCTGCATGGGCATCTCGGCTGGCAGGGGCGTTCCTGCGTCAACCTGCATGGGCATCTCGGCTGGAGGCTGCAGGGGCGTTCCTGCGTCAACCTGCATGG